ATCCGAATAGTCATAACTTAATTCAGCGAATTTAAAGGCTTAATTTTTTAATAATGATTTGATACAATTTCAGTATTAAAATATTATTCATAACATGTTATGGAGTTTCAAATATTTCATGATTACATTAAAAGACTCAAATATTTTTATGTATAAACCTGTTTGGTTACCAAAATGCGAGTATATGATAAAGTACCATACTCAAGATTAAGAAACTGAGTGAGAGCAAAGCTTCGTAAAATTTGCAAGAACAAACAGACTGAATAAACGCGGATTTTATAACTGAATAGTAGTTTCAGAAAAAATTATATTTTCAATGAATTAGATTTTATACAATTGAAGAACTCTACTCCTAGAAATTATTAGCGCTGTAAAGTATTTACCATTTTTCCAATCAGGTAAATTTTTAGTACCTTAGCTGCTTTCTTTTCTCTGATCACTCCAAATACATATAGATTAAAGATGAAATTATAAGGTATTTCTCCTGCCTTCCTAGCATACCTTCGTGGTGTAGTGATTCTGCACGCTGGGCCGGTATTCCAGAGGTCCGTGGTTCGATTTCCGACGAAGGCGTTTGCTCATTTTTCATCTCTTCGGCTTTTCCAATTAACCTAATGTCTCTACAAAGTAAACATATTTCATTCACGAAAAGAATACGATTCATTAATTGACTATCTGCAACGTTAATACTTGAAGAATCTCTACTTTGATGTTTGGTCAATGCAGCTATCTAAGCATAGAACTTTTAAGTTCAGGACTATAACAATATGACAGAGTATGTGAAGCATACTAAAATTTGCCGGTACGATTGAATTTATGAATGTGTAAGATACAAAAATTAGTGTAATTGGTATTAATAAAAGTATACGTATCTCTCTACGCCTTAAATCGTTCTTGCTGTCATTCTTCACATATAATTTTTATCCTGCCATAGAAATAGCACATCTCCAGAACATCAACTGTTCAGTATTTGTAATATGCAAATTTTTCGCGAAAAGATGCAACATCGACAGTGATTCATCAAGGTTTAATAGAGAACCGTTCAAAATAAAAACTATTAAGCTTTAAAAGCGTCATATACTTAATGGCTTCATATTATCGCAGTAATAACATCGTCTGAGACGACTTCGGGAAGAGCATGTAGTATTACAGATACGAGGAAGTAGAAAATGTGTCTTTAAATTTAGATAACATAAAATTTAATATTATTGCAGTTTTCTTATACTGGGAGTGGAATTCGGTCTTAGATTCCGTTATAATTGCTGTTTATTTTGATGACTATTGTAACCCTTCTTATTTTGTAGAAACAGTTTACGAATTATTTTTACTACATATGCGTAGTGTACGCATGCTGTTTACAAATAACAACATGAGAACTACATAACAAGCAAGTGAAAAACGTGGTCAAAACGAGGTTTTTCAGATTTAACAGTTTCTATGTTTAAAGTATATAAAAGGAAGTATGAAATATAAAATTATTACAATAGCAGTTTTGTAACAAACTAATTTGAAAATCTGCATTTGCTAATTTGAAAATCATATAATATATTCATTTCATCTAATATATATATGTAGTGTTTTTCTCTCTTTATATATATATATATATACACTATGTATATTTATATATACAACTGAAGTGTAAACATATACAGAGGCAATCGAGCTAAGAGGTTAGGTGTTAGCCTTGTAATTATACTCGGGAAAAAAAAAAAAAAAAAAAAAAAAAAAGAAAACCTTCGCTGAAAATAATTTGCAGTTCAGTTGACACAGAGAAACAATGAAGTGCTTTAACAGTCATTTTCAAAATTAAATTGCTTGTTTCAAACTCCAAAGTTTCGGCAGCTCAAATTATTGAAATTTGTCTTCTGAAATCTTTTAGTGTTATTGTTGCTCTCACAGTTAATCAACACTGTCACTCCAAACCTCAAAGGTGTCATTTGACACCCTTGAGGTTTTAGGCATTAAATATTGACTATTGTTCTCTTTTTCAAGGCTGTTTATGCGTCACATGTTAGGAGCTCAATTTTTAAATTCTTCACAAATTGTAGTGCTTTGTAAATGAGTTAAAAGCTCATTAAAATGTATTATATATTAAAAATACGATAACATTTTGGATTTTTTGAATGTGTAAGTTTAATTTTGGAGGTGATGACGAAGGAAGTGACAAGTAGGCTAGGCTTGCGTTTAGTATATTCTAGATACTAATTATTTAAATTTTTATCAGTAATATAAATTGTAGTTTTTCTTTTTTCTTAGTAAAAGGAGAAAGTAGTTATACATTTTGCCAGATTGTTAGCATAGTGAATGACATCCGAAGAGGTCTAGAGATAAGTCTCAGTCTGAAATCTAAGAAAACGTTCAACTCAGTAACAGAAAACGAAAATGTCAGATGTTAAAGTTGTGTCAGCAGCATTTACTGAAGTAAAGGGAAGTTGGAAAATTCACGAGGTTGCTAGAACTCTAAGCTTTCTGAACAAAAGCAAATTTTCTGTCATAAAGTCAGTGACAAAACACTAGAATTCAGAGTCGTAAAACAAACCTTAATCCAGCTCAAAACATAATTTGTGTTTAAACTCAAGATAACAGTTAAATGAAAATGTTTGCTGTGAAATAAAAAGAGTACTAGACCTTCTTACTGATAGTGATGCCAAATGACTTGCAAGATTAATATGCGTGGACATTATTGGTAAGAACCTTTACACGTGCCAACAGATTAGTTTGAAAACGGCTAAATTTCTAGAGTTGAAACTGAGGGATTCAACAAAAGACTTCCTAGTTTATAATTTGAAGATATAAAGGTGAAACTAGCGAAGATACGTTTTAAATTTCCGTGGCAAAACAGCTGGAATTAAGATGAGGCATATTTCTCAGGATTTACATTTAGGCTAAATTTTCAGAAATTATGTAGAAATATTACGTTTTTAATATTTGATGCGATATCTTGGGTCTTGAAAATGTAATATCGCGTCTTGGTAATGCTTTATCATTTTCAACACACGGAACCAATATCAAGTAGTAGACATTTTAGATTCAAGAAGCTAATTAAAATCAAAAGAACAAAGAATTTTCAAATGAAACGAAAAAGGATGGACTCAATAGCAGCAAGGTAATTAGGCTTAAAGAATGTTTGAGCATAATTAAAGAAAGTTGAGATTCACATTGTATTTTCTTTGGTTATCAGAAACATAAAAGATTCAAGAAAAGAAAGCACACTTAAGGCTAAATAAATAAACAATTGGCTGATAAAAAAACTCACGATGACTCATAAGCGAGAAGTGCCGATGAAAAATCATTAGAATGCTGCTAATATTACTGAGCACTTTTCCAATAAAACTCACTTCCATCTACCAATGAATTCTCGTGATTCTAATACAGATTCTTATGATATTTCATGATACCGCATTTTGTAAGTCTTTCTTCTGAGGTGCAATCTGAAATACTGTGACTACTATTTACCCATCAGGTTCGATCATTCCCGACACAAATACGTGAGGAATAAGTGTTTGGGTGTTTGGAATAAAAACATTTCTCAAGTGTGGAGGTGATATTACACTATTAAATTATTTTCTTTGCGATAATGAAGCTTATCTCCGCGAATTGTCAAATCGAGTATATGACATTGGAATACCCTTTTATGTATCCAGTTATAAGTTTGAAGTGTATCGCATTTTCAGGTTGATTATCTCTGTGTAACTTAGCTTTTGTCGTCTGTGTTATGAGAATAAAATAAAAGGTATTTGCAATACGTGAAATGATATTTAAAAAAAAATTATTTCTTTGAAGAAGGTTTCGCATTTAGTGAAATATTTCTATGAAAAAGAATTTAACCTTTTCGAACATTTTTCAATAGCGTGCAGTTCAATCCGTTTCGAGGATATCCTTATTTAAAGAAACATACAAGTTTTCGAAAATTGAAAGAAATTAAGCTTACTGAAGATTTTGAAAACAAGATCACATACAGGCACCTAAAAACATTTAATGAAAACAATAAGTTCAACATATTTATCAAGATACAAGCCCCCTTCCTTCCTAAAAACAAGGAAATATAATTATAATATTCCAATAAAAGCAAAAACTCCATAACATCAATAGAGATGAACTTATTTCTAAAACCATTGCCAAAGCTGGCCTTCACAAAGGATTGAAAATTGACAAAGATGGTAGGAAAACCTACAAGAACTGCGATAACTGCCCGAACACAAAACTGACAACAGCACACATTTTTGACTGTCCTGCCATCCTTGCTGAATTGCTAAAAATTGTGATCTTGTTTAAAAGACATAACCTCTATGATGATAACATTTTACAGATTGCCAGATTTTGCCGATCTTCGCCCATGGCATTATTTGAATACCATAAACGCGACAACAACAACAACGAATATAATAATTTGGAAAATTATATTCTCAAGTTACTTAATGGAAGTTTTCTGACATGAAAAGACATACAAAATATATTTTCAGAGCAACTTTTTTTTTAACGAATTTCATCTTGTAAAATACTCTTAAATACTCAAAACTTTAAGAGATGTTTAAAACAAATTTTGATTTTTTTTTATTATGAAAGTAAGCAATTGAAAATATCAAAAATAGTGAAAATTATTAAGAAACCTCAACTGTAGTTTACTTAAAAAGTTAGCTGCTGTTTTTTGTGCATCATACTACTAAGATACCAGTATATTTACAATAATTTTAAATGTGATTTCCTCTTCATTACATTTAGTAATATCTTCATCATCAAAAATAACTTTTGCATAGGAAAAAAAATAGAATGTTAAGTTAAATGATGAAAATCGATGAAATATGAGTAATCTATTACAGAAAGGTGGTAAACTTCATGTTTCAAATTTGTGAATTCATATTTAGCGTTTGAAATATGCAAGCAAAATATAAAGCACATATAAAAGAAATTTATGTTTCAGCTTGTACAAAATGATAATGTCTCGTGTATCAAAATGTTCTTGTTCTGCTTGTTATGTACAAAAGGGAAACAGACAAAACTCTTGGTCACAAACATCTTTATCTTTACATTTTCTGCACAATTACAACGAAAAGCAGCTTTACAATAAGCTGCTTCATCTTAAATTTCCTGTACAAATTCCAACAGTTTATTTACAAACTACAAAGGATTATAATTTACAACGGTCTGCTAAAAAACAACCTGAAAATAAAAAGTACATAAAGTATTCCAAGTTCTGTTCTCTCTATACTGATTTTTACTTTGTACAATGATGATTTCCTCACTTTCTTTTATTTCTTAAATGCAGCCCATACAGGGAGTAAACTTAAAGTGCTTTTCGTTACTGAAATTCTGCGTTAATTTAAAAATCAGCGTCCTTGTACTTTTATATATATAAAAATAAATAAAACAACATGAAATTAAGATTCTTCTGTTCCTTTTACTTTATAATAGTTCAAGCGAGCAATGTGATATTTGGAAAATGAAAGGCTAAAGTTAAACTCTCAAAACTACGAATCTTAGCGTCAGTTTTATGTTGCAAAATAAAATGCGCATTGAGTCCCAGAGAAGGCGGGGATGTTTGTAAGCCTATAGTATCTGTACGGCAAGGGGTCACTTAAAATTCACGGGGGGGGGTCGAAATACTCAGACTGGTGGCAGGGAAAGAGTGGTGGGAGACTCTCGTACGCAGCCCGAATTGCTCTCCCTCTGAATTCCATCTGGGGCGGAAGTCTAGCAGGAAGCCTTGCGATATCTAATATACACAGGTGGCAGCCTTGCTTCATCCTATACCTATTAATAACTTCAACTACTTCTTGCTGAATGCATGTTGATTTTCACAATCCTTAGAAGCTCTTGAAATATAGTAATAAACAAGTACGGAGCTTTGAAACTCTTTCAAGTTAATGCAAATCATAATGAAGAATTCCTCTATTAGTTATTTTTAGATTAACATGAACATTTGTGATTGATTAGATATTGTTTGGGGGAGCTAAAATAAATTTTATTTTAAATAATAGCGAAAATGAAAAAAAAAGAAAAAAAAAAAAAAAAAAGAAACTGAGGTTTAAAAACCGAATTTAGTTTTCAGCTGTCAGGATTTGCATTTCCACTGAAAGCGTTAAAATTCAAAGAACATTGTTAGTTGAAAATAGTAAAGGTTCTTTCTGGAGATAAGAAAAGGTACAAGAAATATTCATAATCTGAAACAAGCTTTAAATAAGTTTAAGGAATATTCATAATGGAAAACAAGCAAGGTTCTTTTAATTTACACATCATTCAAAATTTCAGAATTGTATGACACAGGCACTAATTTTGAAACGTTTCCAAACGAATAAGAACTTTTGGAGAAAATCTAACTAATTTTTCTTCCTCAATTAAATAACAGAAAATGAAAAAAATAAATAAAAGAATACTTCTCATTCTGTTAAATGATATAGCTAAGCATCTAAAGAAATCCATAAAAAAATGTTACTCTGTATTAGATATTAAAAATTTATTAATGGGATATTCTTTATAGTTTTCAAATAGTAGATTATTTTACATATTTAATTACATTAAGTTATACACTAAATGTAATATATATGTTACATCACACTCTTATGTCTTTCTTGCAATGTTATAATGGTCAACGAATTTTATTTTAATGAGTTGTGCATGCCAAGTACCAAATAAAAGGCGTTTCATTCCCTTTCATAAATCTTTCGTTTATATTATGTTTCGTTTATTCGTTAAGAATTTTTTTTAGAAGTTCCGTTATTTCTTATATTTAAAATTGACTTTTTTTATGGCTAAAGAATCATTTGAATGGAAATACCTAATTCTGCAAAGCTCAAACATCAATGATTTTTTATTTTTCACCTAGTTTTCATTCTTTAATTTGCAATTGAAAAAAAAAAAAAAAAAAAAAAAAAAAAAAAAAAAAAAGTGAAAGTTTTTTAGATTTTATATAACGTCCAAAGTGGCGTTCTTTTCATTTACAGTCACATACATGTGTCGGGAGCAATTTGGGCCAATAATATTTTAGAAAAAGCGTATCTTTAGGTTTTCCGATTCACAGTCTTGCACGTTGGAGGTAAGAATGTTTTATTCTGTAAAGCGTTTGCCTTGAAATCGTTGAGTTTTTAATCAAAAATTCGTTAAAGACTTTCAAAATAACGATTAGATAATAAAACAAATCCGAAATTCAAAATTTCGGCTTCCATGTATCCAGATTCGGGTGGAGACTACGTTATTCAAAATTTGATGGCTCTATGCACCATCAAATTAGGCATCTCTAGGCATCGTGATTTTCTCACAATGCGAGAAACATACACAGATTCATGCAAATTCCTCATTATTTATTTTTTTTAAATATAACACAGGGCAATAATATTTGGTGGCAACAATCTGAAAAGTCATTTAACACTTTTAGTGATTCGATGCAAAATGCCATTTCAAGACTAATAGCCGTTCTGGGCTAACGCCTTTTTGGGCTAAAATGTAATATTTTTAGTCTAAAAGCTATATGGTTTACGAAATGTAGCACCTTCTTTTGCTTCCTGTTATAAAAATTTCATTAGCAACAATCATTAGGCAATTTCGTTTTTGAGGTATTATATTACCACTCACAGACAGTTCTAATATAGATTCTGCCTCTCACTATATAGAAACAGTAGCTTCCTATTCATATTTTTTTAATGTATATGAATTTTTTTTTTAATTTCGAAGGGTGAAAAAAAGGGTAAAAATAGGTGAAAAATTATAAAAATAATGCTGCCTTCAATTGCAATTGAAAACGAAGACTTTTATCAAATAATTCATAATCTTTGATCCTTGTCTGCATATGTATTAACACTTTTATAACATTTAAGAATTTTGTTTTGAAATTTTTGTTAACTTATTTTGTTTTTGATATTTCCATATTTATTATATAAAAATGAGTACTAAAATTTAAGTTACATGTCAGAAAGTTCAATAAATTCTTATTAGGCTTCTATTTTTTTTTTAAATTTCGCATGCAGCTGGTATTAATCTCGGTATAATTTCTTTCCTTTTGAGGGTGATATTGTTGTATTATAAGAGAAAGTATTATATAATAGATATCACTAAAATAGTCCCGTTTTACGTAACCAAGAGAAATAAAACCATTTAAGAATTTTTCCGGTTTCTTGCAACATATGTTCTTACATTTTCTTTAATTGAAAGCTATTAATATCTATATATACATTTAATTACATTTTACATTTAAAATTTTAAGCCTTTAAAATTTTAAGTGCTCCAAATAAGCCGGAAATTCTAGATCAAAAGTAGAATGGAATTCAAAGACAGCTTTCTCATGATTTTATTTGAATAATCCAATCTAATCTGAATTTTTAAATTTATAAAATACACGCATTTCAGTAGCGAAAAGCCTCAAATCATCTGCGAACTTCTATTTGTGCATTCAGATGAACATAACTTGACCCTTATCAGCTTAACTGATAATATTCAGGACTGCAATAATCATTAGCAATGTTTAGAAAGTTGAAATCATTTGTGCTACATGTATTACTCGAAGAATAACAGTCAGATTCGTTGAAGCAGTTATAATTAAATTCATCTGTGTGATTATTGTACCTTTCTTGAGGTTCAACATAATCTGGAATAGCAGCGCTTTCTTGAACTGGATTTTGAAGTTCGTAATAACCGGAGTCTTGTGATAAATTAGTTTTGGGCTGAGGTGAGACATAGGATTGATTGGTTTCTTCGGCGTTTACACTGTTCATATCGTAGAACATACCATGTACATCTGACGGATGAGACATCATTACATTGTTGTCACTGTAACCTTCACTTCGATATGGTGGGTAACAATACCCATTATTTCCTGGGTTATTACTCCCGTGGCTATTGGTAGAAGCACCGGTCATAAAATCACTATTCATGCTCATATTTTGTTGCGGCTGGTGATAATTTTCGTAACTCCTCGTGTGATTGTAATCAACAGAAAAAGATGCATTGTTCTGTTCAGAGCCGTAAGCATAACTACTTTGATGTTGCTGAGTTGGCTGAACAGAATTTCTTTGCTGATAATGTTGATGCTGTGCTATTAACGTCTGGTCCGGCAACTGAGCGTTTCGCTGCTGTACGTTGTATACATCACTTGTTTGATGAGGGTGACAAGTATTTGGAAGATGGTGTGTATTCGAACTTTGCTGAACATTTGATTGCCCTGTTGTGGGATAATAAGGCATGCTGTTCTGATGTGGATTTTTATATGATCTCTGTTGTATATGACTACTGTAGGAAGTATTATCTATAGATTGATTATGTATGGGCTGCGAGTGATGATTTGGTGGCGGTGTTCTGTAGCAATATGTTGGCCCATTTGGAGGTGATGTGGCTACGGGGCCAGAGGGAGTATAAGCTCCTATTCCTGGATCGGGTGGATACGGCCCAGAATACATTCTAGGTCTCTGGTGATTTGGAGATGATGGTACTAAATTATTCGTGCAGTTTTCTTGAGGCAAAGCAGAGTAAGGAACACTAGGACTTTTACTTTGCAATGCTGAAGTTGTCGTAGAGCAAACTATAGTGTTAGGTGGAACCCTTGCTTCGATAGTGCGTTGTGCTGCCATTTTGACTGCTGGTGTATCTGACGTGTTAGCAGTGTACCCACATATAGCTCTAGATGCCACAACCGATTGAGGTGAAACAGTATCACATACAGTATTGTGACCTAAAGAAATATTCATTGTATTCACAGGCAAGTGGTTTTCTTCTGGTGGCAAACTGTTCACATCACATTGTTTATTGGGAGTTGATCGTCTCTCTAAAGACAGCGTAGATGGAGACACCATAGTTGGACAAGATGCTACACCAGAAAGAGCTACAGGGGACTTTAAAGATGTTGCTGACTGTTGTTCAACATCCTGTGGGATAGCATCTGATTTGGCTGGGGACGGTACACAACAAGATTCGCCGGCATCACTGTCCAAATTAAGCAGGTCCTTGGACGCGTTAGAATGCTCTGGTGTTCGAGAAGGCATACCATGATCACTGTCCAAATCTGGCTCATTGCTATCACCGCCAGTGGCAATATCACTTCCGCTATCAAGGTTGCGATCAGTGCCATCTTTATCATCTTCTCCTTTCGTTACCAGAGTCTGGCGCTTGTGCTTCATACGACGGTTTTGGAACCATACTTTGACTTGGCGTTCTGTCAAATCTAGGGAAGCGGCTATCTCTATCCTTCTGGGGCGGCACAAATATTTATTGAAGTGAAATTCTTTCTCCAACTCCAACAGCTGTGTGTTCGTATACGCTGTGCGCAATCGTCGAGGCATCCCATTATCCGTCGTTTCTGAAATAAAAAGAATAAATGCTATAAATAAATCCAAAGCAACAGAATTCGAATAATAAAATTGTGTTTAAGAGCCATGCTTGAAAAATACAATACGAATTCATGAAGTACAAAATAAATGGCTTGTTTTTCTAAATAAATGCGTTTAAATTTTTATAAGATAGATGGACATTAAATCTGATAAAAGAACTTTTGAAGTGTTTCCTTTCGAGATGACACCAGGTATTTAAAAAAGCAATTTCAATAACAGATTTAATATACATGTAATTTAAAATAATCCCTTCATTAATGTAGCAAAATTATTATTATCTCATGAAATATGCATACAGAAACCTCCAAAATGTATCGCCGTTCATATATCAGTACTCTAATTTATGCAAACATCTATATTCTACGCATTGTAAATAAAGCCACCGTCAGTGCATACATTGCAAATTTATCTATTTTTGCAATTAACTGTGTTCCACACAAAAACATAACGCTATAGAAAATAAGTAAAATTTGAACTGAAATGGCCATAAACATTAGTTGTAACAAACTTTTTCGGAGAAAACTATTTACCAAATCAACTTGTGACAACTATTCTGAGTATTACTAAAAGCTAAGCTTAATTTAAACACTTCCTTAACTTTTCTTTAATTCGTGCCGCTTGTGTTGGCTCAGACCAGAAAGTTATGCAAGCTAAAGCACGTGCAAGGGATTTTGAAAGTTAGTGTTAGTAATAAGAGCTAGCTTAAATCTCTTTGAAAAAAGTTAATATTAGTCACAAGCGTATCTTTTCCGAATTTGCCATTCGCGGTTAGTAAGCTCCATCACATCAATAACTATGCTTAAAACAGCCCACTTCGATAGAGGAGAAAATCCACGTGTTTTGTTTCAGGGAATTTGATTTTGATAATTAAATTTCAAAGCAGCTTGCCTCAAGCGTTAAAAGTTATTATCGATTAGCAATCGAAATCTTTAGTTGTAACCCACTGGAAATGTATAGGTAAATTTTGTTGAAATCTGAATCCACGTTTATGTAAGTTGATTGTAGTCATGCCGATCATTCGCCAACATTTTAGAAAATAGCTGTTAGTGAAGTGCAGTTAATTGAAGCTATCAAGTATCAAGAGTTTCAAGTTCATGCAATGAAGTTCCAGGTAAAGATTCGTTTTACAATCTTACATCATCTCCGAATAACTAGCATATAACTTGTGTACTGTATTTTACATACGAAGATTCGTCATATCCGACGTCTGGCAGCTTTCGAAGCATGATCTTCCGTAATATAAGTTGAAAAGTCTAGTAAAGTTGTGTAAGGGGGGGATCAGAATTGGATACCAGGAAATGAATCTTAAATAATGTGCCACGCTCCAATACTTCATAATATTTCATTACCTAAAAGCATCGTAACGGTGCTTTTAAAGAGCTTCTATGCTAATATTCAGCTCAGAAAAGTGAATTTTGACAAAGTTTTTGATTAAACGTAGTTTCCTGAAAGAATTGGCAGTACATTTTCTGAGGACTTACTAAAGACTCAGAAACTACCTGAAACCCAGAAGCATTCCTGAAATTAATATTTCGCTTTAGGCCATATTCCACATTCCACTGTAACATTTCGCTTCCTGTGCCTTTTCATTGAGATTATAAAGTATTTTTTCCGCCTTCTTGGCATGTGGTAGTCTGCATGCTGGGCGCGTATTCCAGAGGTCCGCGGTTCGATTCCAGGCGAAGGCGTTGCTCATTTTACATCTCTGCTTATTTTCAAAAAATACCTAATGTCTCTACAACATAAAAAAAGCAACAACATTTTGCGAAAATCATAGGAGAAACATGTTACTCTTAGATTTCTATTTATGACATCGCGCATTTCTCATACTACTGAGTGAAATATATTCATGGTTCTTTGGGAAGCGAATAGCACCGACTGATATTCATTTTCATTATGAAGCAGGAATAAATTTAAGCTTGTTTTTCAGAAATTTAGGAAAAATACTCATTCCTTCCTCCTGAGTTTACTAGTGCCCCAAAGCTTTAAATAAAATGTCAGTATCATTCCAGTGTGAAAGTGGTTTCCTTGGAAAGTAATATTTTAAAATTAATTCTTGCTTGTTCTGGCAGTAACTACATACTTTGTCGTATTTTCAATGAGATATGGTTTCTTAAACCCTGAGACTATTACTTCAGACTAAACTTTTTGACAAGTCAGAACAATATCATTTAAGCTAGACTAAGTCGTAAAATGTAGGTCGGGATTAAGAAAATAGCCAATTCACTGACAAAGAATAATTCAGTTAGTAGTGAGAAGTTATGTTACCATAAATTGAACGTAGGGTTTCTGTTTTTGTAGTCAAAGAGCAGAAGTACACAAGAATTTTCGGTCATTTCTTGTTAAAGCGGCCACTGTTCTTAGTCATCACAAATGGAAAACTTGATATTTAAATCCGTAAACATGAAAACTTCAAATGCAGCCAATAGCTAACACTGTAGCTGCTTTAACAAGAAAGTACCGAATTTTAACGTTTAAGAACAATGTTTAACAAACAACAAAAGAAGCATAGAAAACACGTAATAATGTGTTTGGCAATAAAACTATTGTAATCGTCAACCAAAAACAAAAGTTCTATTTGATGATAATAATACTCGTGTCGGGTACAAGATATTACGGCGCGTGAAATGAAAACAAATCTTGCCTTGAAAAAACACCATCTCCTTTCATAATGAAACTAAAAACTTTTTAAAAAAGACCAACTCTAAAAATGTAGAAACTATGATAAATGCGAGAAAATGTTTTTCTTTCTGTCAAAATAATAGTTAAAATTCAAATACTAATGAATAAATAGTTTGTAACAGGGAATATAAACTACCTTAATCCTTTTTAAATTTTGTAGGCTTACATTGTCGCATATTTAAAAAAGTTAGTTATTTGCCAAGTAGTTAATGCTACCAAAACGGAAAGAAATTACCAAATTACTGGATAATATATCGTAAATTTAACTAAGTGATATTTAAAAATAATTCTACAACTAATTGTATATAGTTTTATTTTTATAACAAAACTGTTCGAGTCCTCTCCCTTTTGTTATTAGAAGTGAGTACGAAAGAAAGTTAGATGGATATTTTTAAAATTTTTCCCCCATTTTATTAAAAAGTTTTATTGAAAAAACAATTAAATTTTAAAGCTTTCAAAGCAAAAGCACTTATTTGAGTCATTACAGCAATTAAAAGTTGGCTGTTAATTTCTAATTTTTGCAAATAATTGAAATTTACCCTTATGCAAAGCTACTATAATGCATCAAAAAACTTTTCGTCCAATTTTATGCAAATGTAGGAATAATTAAGAGAAAAATAAGCACATTTTAAAAGAAAACCATTCCTATAAAGTCAAAATTTGAGGAAAACATATTGCAAGCCAAACGCGTTGCATTTAAAAGCAACAAAATGGAAGTTTCAAATCGGGCATACTTAAAAGCTTTTTCAAATGCATCTTTCAAACCACTTATAAAGTTTTCCAAAACGTATATTTTGGTTATTCTTTGTGTGAGAATCAGCTGTATACATAACTAGCAATCAACTTCAGAATCGAGGTCTTTCGTAAAGGCTAACACTTTACACTTTCACTTCGGAAAGAGCTCTTGCTACTTGACCTCCTCTGTTAACTCTACGCTTTTAACAAATAGCCCATAACACGTAACTGAGGTCCAACGTTCAAAGGCTGCGAAAAAAAAAGAAGAATTGTAAGGAAGTGTTTACTTAGCTATGATACTCTCAATGGCTGGTCTTGCCTTCCGCGCGTGAAAGAAGAATATAATAAAGCACCGATGTAAAAAAGGGGCTATGAGTGCATTACCTGAAGCAAAAATTGCTCTTGATGGATGATATGGACTGTTTGGAAGAAGTAGAGCCTATCGGGAACTTGGATTCTACAGCAAATGACCCAAGACAGGCTAGTAGTGGTTTTTGTTGAATTTTCCTGCATTATTATGCTTTAGGATAGCCAGGTATTAAGTAGAGACTAAGCATTAAGGTGTGAATGCTAGCATAGAAAATATAAGCACGCATACCAAAAAAAATATACATAAAAACTTCCACACTCATCTACATCGTATTATCTTTATCCCATGCACCAGAATGCTGTGAAACATGGGGATGAAAAACAAACAGCAATCCGAATGTTTCTATAAATTTGGCAGAGATTAATAGAGGAAACATAACTTCAATAATTTGACATTTAATAACATATAAATCAAGAAATATGTAGATTAAGCTGTATTGTAGCAATTAATAAGGTATAGTCTTAACTGCATTATTAGTGGTTGCTGCAACGAAAGCTTCAACGGTTTAATATTAAAGCTAAAAAATTCCACATTTAAAGTCTTGTAAGGAATTATCTCTCTTACGTGTCTTATTACGTGTCTTGATGGTGTAATTGGAAGCCCATCCTGCTAGCAGTCGAAAGGTCCGTTGTCTTATTTGCCGCGGAAGTCATTTCTAATTTTTCACGTTTTCAGCTCCAAATAAATAATCGCTCTACAAGTGAACTAAAATTTGGTAGAAGATAATTTGGTTACACCTGGATTTTGTAATTGGATCCTCTCCTCCTGGTCGCCCTTTAAGTGGGGCAAATGCAAGGAAATTTTATCCCTCTTTATCGCCAGTCTGCGCGATGTAATTGAAGCATGTCCGGCTAGCAGTCGGAAAGTCCGAAGTTTAGATCCTGAGGAGGGAATCACTGATATTCTTACATTTTCAAATTCTAAAAATTCTACAATCTATTTTGATATTCATCTTTAAAAATGAATACACATTAATTAAATTACTGATTAAATTTAAATTTATGTGATTACAAATGAGAAAAAAATATACACTGGTGTGCAAAAATTAAGGACGAAGTCGAAAAATTAGCATATCAGCTGAACGAAGAGGCAGAACGGACAGAAAGACCAATCAGGAGATTAAGTAAGGTGATGTACGGTAGCACATGCGCAGATATGCAGGTAGACGTAATGGGGGAGTGT